TAGAATATCCACAGAAATCAGAGGTGCATGTTGTGAAATGGAGAGAAATTATGCCACCTAAAAGGCTAAAAGGCATGAAAGAATCCACACATTGCCCTGGTTACATTTTTGAATACTGAAGCTTAATCTGATACTGTTCTCATGCTTTGCAAAAGAAATTTATTTATCCTAGAAGATATATTTTTCCTACAGGAATTTGAAAAGAGAAATTTGCTTTCATGCCCTGGTGCACATAGGCTTTCTGGAAGCATCTGTCAAGCTGTCCAAAAGCAGATTGTTGGACTAGATTTTTTGCTTCGATTCAGCAGGAATGGTTGGTCTGATCGTGCCAGCTCTTGTACATTGGAAGCCAAATTGCTTTTCCTTTCAAGCACTATTGGAAGGATTAATATTTGTATGAAAGGCCTTGGTTAGCCCAAACATTTATCTCCCCTTTCCCTTTTTCTGTCTATCTAGTCATTAGAAACAATTGTTGGGATTTCTACTTTGCTGACAGCAGTTTAATTGTGTGTACTTTTTGGCACACTGGAAGGTCCTCTCTGCAGATACCGTGTGCTTTGGCAAAATGGGCAGTCTGGGCTGCAGGATAAGGCATCTATCAGGGATGCAAAACCTACCAATTCCTGGAATACAGACTGGGGTGTGGGGGGTGGTGTTGCTCATTAGAGCTCTTTCTAACTGTGCCTGAGACACAGCTTCATTATAGGATGCTTTTCAAGTCAGCTTGCTTTACAGCAGTGACAGCCAGAACTGGGCCCCTCAAAGGCCAGGCCATTTCAATCAAATGAAAACTAAAGTCTGCTTAGAAATGTAAATGGATGTTGGATGACAGGATTAAAAGCCTAGTAGCATACACACACACACGCGCGCGCGCACTCACTCACATACACACACACACACACACACACACAGACAGACACACAGAAAACTGAACTTCTATTGGGCCTTCTCCTAATAGAGGAGATAAATCATAATATAAATACTGCTCCTCCTGGATGCTTATAAATTATTTAAAACATCTAAAAGTTCTACAAAATGTATAAAATATAAGATGATGTAGGTAGAATTAAATTATAGTTCAGAGTTCAAACGATTTTGACATTTAAAAAAAATAATCATGTAGAGTAATTGTCTTGGTTTTAAAACAGAAAGAGTGAGCACATATATTCAGGCAAACCAGAATGTCAGACTACACTGAGAACAGTACATTGCTTAAGACATAAAAAATAATAATAAGTTCACAAGAAATACATATAGGTAGTCCTCGACTTACATCAATTCATTTAGTGACCATTCAAAGTGACAATGGCACTGAAGTCCAAGCAAATTATATTCACAGCATTCCTCTGATCCACTAATTTTCTCACTTGATCAAAGAATGCAATAAGATTTGTCTGGCATGATCTGTTTTTGACAAACCCATGTTGGCTTTTAGTAATGACTTTGTTTGCCTCTAGGTGTTCACTGATTCATTGTTTGATTATCTTTTCCAGAATCTTCCCAGGTATTGAGGTCAGGCTGATAGGTCTGTAATTTCCTGGGTCCATTTTTTTTCCTTTTTTGAAGATGGGAACTACATCAGCTCTTTTTCAGTCCTCTGGTAGTTCCCAGTGCTCCAGGATCTTTGAAAAATATAGTTCAGTGGTTCTGAGATCACATCTGCCAGTTTCTTCAGAACCTTGGGATGTAATCCATCAGGTCCTGGTGATTTGAACTTGTCTAGGGTGGACAGGTGCTCATTTACCATTTTCTTGCCTATCTTAACTTGTGTTTCTAATCTATTTTTTATGGTACTGTTTTTTATAGGTTGGACTGTTTTCCCTTTGTGTAAAGATGGATGCAAAAAACGAGTTAAATAGTTCTGCTTTCTCCCCGTTGCTTGTCACCTTCTTGCCACTTTCTCCCACTAATGGACCAATCATTTCCTTAACTTTTTTCTTGTTTTTTACATGTTGAAAGAAGCTTTTTTGTTTGTTATTTTTGACTTTTGTCGCAAGCCTTAGTTCATTTTGAGCCTTAGCTTTCCTCACTTCATCTTTGCAGGCTCGGGCTATTTGCTGATATTCTGCCTTAGTTATGTGCCCCTCTTTCCACTTTTTATACTCGTCCTTTTTGTCTTTCAATTTATCAGAGAGTTCTTTATGCAGCTATGCTGGTTTCTTTTGAGAGCTGTTATTTTTCTTCTTCGTTGGTATTGTGCTAGACTGGGCTTATTAACTGCAGGGATTCACTTAACAACTGTGGCAAGAAAGGTCATAAAATGGGGCGAAACTCAATTAACAAATGTCTCAGTTAACAACAGAAATTTTGGGCTCAATTGTGGTCGTAAGTGAAGGACTACCTGTATTAATAAATCTAATTATGTCCAATTGAACATAGAAAGGATTATTTAAACTGTAATTTAAAACTCATCCTATCAATGAGAGGAGTGACATGTACATTTAATAAATAAATAATTCTACATTAAAAATAAGCTTTATCAATGGGAATACCAACACTGATTCTGCAAGAAACCTTTTCAATATTTTGACAAAGATAAAATCTCGTAGAGATTATCACCATCAGGTTGGTTTGTAATGAGGCTACCAGATCTGATCATAGATGAGATTGCTGATTTGGCTTGGCTCAAGAGGATGGGGTCCTCTCTCCTTTGCCTGATTGGATTTCAGGTGTTACCTTGGGGTAAGGGTGGAGGTGTGGTGTTTGTCATTTGAGATACATGTTTGTTAACTTGGGCTCTAGACTCTACCAGCCTTCTGCTCTGTAGCATCCTTTTTGCCAAGTTCCTTAATTCTGTTGCCAAGTTACTTTCCAAACTTATGGGAATCCTCCTTTTTCTGGGTATGGGATCTGCAGTAGCTCATGACCATGACAGCTGTATGCTTCTCCCAGGCCGTCCAGGGCACAACACAAAATAGTGGTTATATGCCTGACCCGGTTTTATTTTCAGAGCAAGTATAATCTGATACTGGCGGAGATTTCTGTTTCTCCCCTGTCATTGTCAGATCACTTTCTGGTGGTCTGCAGGTCTCCGCTACTGGCTTCCACTGTAGGGAGGCTGGATTTATTAGATTGGTTCACACTAAGTAGCTGATGGATCCAGTTGAGTCCTGAGTAAATTTGGGGTTGTTGCTGAGGATCTGCTGCATGGTCTGAACAAAGCCTTCCTGATGGTTGCTTGGAATCAGAGGGAAGCTGGGGTTCTGGATCAAATGGCATCTCCTCCTGCAGGGCTTCCCACCCCCACCCCACCCCCTTGGTTTACAAAGGATTTGAGGGGGATGAAGTAGGTAAAGAGATGGTGGAGGGAGACAAGTGGTGAATCTTACCAAACATGGATTGGAGCTGCTATTACGGCTTAACTCTTGGCAGCAAAGCCAGCCAAAGATTCTTACTACATCCATGGATAATCTTCCAGAGGTCTTGATTCAAGTGGAGGTTGATTCAAGGTCACTTAAAGAATTTGAAGGACATCTGGATAAAGAATCCTAAGATTCACTATAAGGTGGACTCTAACCTTAGAGAAGGCTAACAGTTAACTGTGGTTTGTTGATTAAACCAGAGTCAGTTCATTTCAGATAATATGCAAAGCATTAATCAGCTTTAATAATCATAGATTGAAACTACAGCATCCACCTTCTTCAAAATTATTGGCATGTTCCAAAACATATTAAGCTAAAACATTGTTTATAAACTATATTGGCTTGATTCACAGAACATACTAAAACACAGAGAATTTTTTTGGGTAAACCCAGTAATATGAAATATTGATTTGAATAATTTTTTGCAAAGAGATTAAATAAAAACAATTCAATTGCTCCAGTTGTGAGATTATTTCATCTCAATATTATCAATCTGGAGTCAAGGGCAAATAATAGTGGTGCCATGAACTAAGAATTTGGAATATAGATCCCTCATTTTGAAATGGCTTATCTGAGTATTTCTACTTTACCTTTCTAAAAATGAGTTTTGTCCCTGTTTTCCTGACCAATTTCTACCTTCCATAGAGTTAGAGTTTTCTTCCAAGTAGACAAGTATAGGTTTGCACTGTTGGTATATTAATTGGATAGCCTTTGCAGTTTTCCCAATCTCATAATTCTTAAGAAGCAGTGAAACGTGGTAGAAACAAAGCCATGTGTACACAGGGAAAGAGTCATAAATTGCCTAGTTGAGCACTTTTCAGTCTTTAAAACTTTTCCCAAGGCAAGAGTTCAGATGCAGATTTTACGTCAGATTGCCATCAAAGACTTCTTGGAATTGGCTGTGTTAAATCTGTCTGCCACATGTGTCTGTGTGCAGGTTGTTTGTAAGGGTCACTTTTTGAATTAACTGCTGCTGAAGCAACTAACATTTCTCAGCTGTTCTTGGCACAGCCTTCAAGGTAGGTAGTCTGGGGCATGTCCTTTTATTAGCTTTTTGGGGGAATATCAAGAAATATATATTTTTTTCTAGGGTTAAAAAAGAATGAGAAGCTGGTTTTATTCCCCTATGTATAATAAGAATTAGCCTCTGCATTTTCTTAACACACTTTTTACATTTTTCTTGTTTTACATTTTTGCCTACTGTGATTTCAGTTTATGTAGCAGATTTGCTTAGTGAATTTATTACCTGTGAAATCAGAGGAAAAACTGATTTGGAAGTATTCTGTTAGTATCACTTTAGGAGGCACATGTCAGTATGTCATATCATTCTTGGATAGACAAAGGGGGGCATATTCCTTCAAAAGCAGCACTGATAAAACATCTCTAGACATTTCACAGCTAATTTCAGTCATTTGATTAATTCAAATTAGCCAAACCGTTGTACTTTATTTTCCTCAAGTGTCTTTAATATATTTCAGATTTCATTCTTTTGTTTTGTTTTCAGTAAAATGAAAAATTAAACATTGTCTGTGATTATTCTAGATACATAAAGCAGAGGAAGCAAGAAGGTCTCTCCAAACTGATTGCATTAACCAAATCAAACATTTGGTTCAAGAGAAAAAGTGTGCAAATCCTAAAATGACTCCTTTCTGCATGCAGTTCTATTTTAGTGGCTTAATCTTCTGGATGATACAGAAATCAAGCTTCTTCATGCTGCCCAATACTACTGACCTTCTTTACCCCTCCAGCAGCCCTGATACCAGACACATTTCTATCCATGGAGTATCAAAGATTCGCAGGAAGCGTTATATTTTTTCCAGGGAAATGAGTACCCTTTTGGGCTACCACAATCAAGTGCGGGCACAGGTTTATCCTCCAGCTGCCAACATGGAATATATGGTAAGTTTATTTTTATACTTGCTACTTGGGGTTGAAAACAGCACATTGATACTGTGAAAACATATACTGTAAATCAGGGGTGTCAAACTGCCGGCCCTCAGGCCGGACGCATCATGAGGAAACCGCGCCCACCCCATTGCCAGCAATGGGGAAAAAGTTCCGATACGTCGTGTGACATCACATGACGTCGCGAGTTTGACATGTCTGCTGTAAATTGATTGTTTGGTGGACAGCTCCTTTGAGGTGTAGTGCAAAAGTTCTGCCAATTCCCCAAAGCTTTATTTTTAAAGTTGAACAAAGTATTTTAGTAACCTAAACAAAACATGCCAGTCTATACAAAATTACTATAAGAACATTTAGCAAGCTCACAAACCTGGTTATCTGCATTCATTACCAGGGGAGTGTCCTGATACTCCACTGTAGCTTGGATAATTATCCCCATTTTTCCTGGCAAGATTCCTCTGCTAAAGAACAGTGGATGCAGAATTTTATCAGAATTCCTCATGTATGTTGGTGCGGTAGAAAAGTATTATTTCTCAACTTTTATTTGTCAATCTATATTGTAATAAAATTATAACAGCCCTAAGTGAATCAGCAGTTCCTTATGTTTTTATGTATCTAAATATCTCTATGGTTTCTGGCTGTGACAATTTGGTCTTTGAAGAAAGAAAAAAGTGGTGTAATTGGTTCATGCAATATATCAGGGGTAGTCAACCTTGGCTCTTTTATGACTCGTGGACTTCAACTCCCAGGAATTCTGGGAGTTGAAGTCCACGAGTCATAAAAGAGCTCAGGAATTCTGGGAGTTGAAGTCCACGAGTCATAAAAGAGCTCAGGAATTCTGGGAGTTGAAGTCCACGAGTCATAAAAGAGCCAAGGTTGACTACCCCTGCAATATATAAAAGCTTTGCTTTGATTTAGAGAATTGCATGAAACTAAGTTTGTCAAATAGGCTGCATGAACAGAGAGATAGAATCAAGATCACATGAAGTGTTAATACCACTTTATAATACCTTGATAAGACCACACTTGTAATACTGCATCCAGTTTTGGTCGCCATGATGTAAAAAAGATGTTGAGACTCTAGAAAGAGTGTAGAGAAGAGCAACAAAGATGATTAGAGGACTGGAGGATAAAACATATAAAGAACAATTGCTGGAATTGGATATGTCTAGTTTAATTAATTAAACTAACTTTAATTAAATTAAACTAATTTAATTAATTAAAAGAAGGACTAGAGATGACATGATAGAGTGTTCCAAAATCTCAGGGGCTGCCACAAAGAAGAGGGAGTCAAGCTATTCTCCAAAGCACCTAAAGGCAGGACAGGAAGCAATGGATGGAAAGTAATCAAGGAGAGAAGCAACCTAGAACTAAGGAGAAATTTCTTGACAGTTAGAACAATTAATCAGCGGAACAACTTGCCTCCAGAAGTTGTGAATTGTGCAACACTGGAAGTTGTAAAGAAGAGATTGGACAACCATTTGTCTGAAACTATATAGGGTTTCCTGCTTGAGCAGAGGGTTGGATTAGAAGACCTCCAAAGTCCCTTCCAACTCTGTCATTCTATTCTGTTCTATTCTGTTCTAAATATGAGTAGTCCATCAATGTATTTAAGGTGGGGCTTTTTTTAAAAAAAAAGTTGTGTTTTGTAACTGTATTGGCTAGATAAGGAAAAAAGGCAAAGACACTTGCATTTTCACTAGTTAAGTAGCAAGGGAAATTTCTGAAGATACATGAGTGTATCTCATTTTTTCAGCAATCATTTGGGAGTTATGTCTTTGGTAAAAATTCTTATCTTAAATAGAGGAACCTTATAAATATTTATGAAACTTTTAAGTAATATGGTGAAGCATTAATTATTCAGTTTAAGGACTTAAAATCAAATCTGAAATTATATATCGTACTTTGATATCTGGCACTGGATCCACAGATTATATATTTATGAGGCTGGAAGCAATGATGAAGAATAGCTGTGAAATGATCTGGAGGTAGAATAACAGATGTTACAAAAGGCGCACATTAATTTAAAAGCATATGCATGGTGCTCAGGTAATATTTGGGACAATAATTGCATATTGTGGTCACCTCTAATATGGTAGGATGGCCTTGTGCTAAGGAAGAAAAAGCAGGAAAGGTCTTTTTCTCTCAAATATTAAGGTCTCCTTGCAGATGTCTAGGCATACTCAATTTCTAGCTAGATCAGGGGTGTCAAACTCAATTTCATTGAGGGCCGCATCAGCATTGCGGTTTCCCTTGGGGGGGGTGGATGGGTGTGACCAGAGTGGGTGTGGCCTACTGGGTGGGCGTGGATGGAGTGGGGTGGGTGTGGTTTCAGGTCCCTTCCAACTTTATTATTATTATTATTATTATTAAGAGGTTGAGCCGGGCGGTGTGAAGCTCGCCAGCTTTGCACCTTGCTGCCTGCTGAAACTGGGCAGGCTGAGGACTAGGCAGCATTGCACTTCTCATCAGATTCGCACCACCCGCCTCAGCTCTTGGCGCTATGAGGAGAGTGCCCCGCTGCCTGCCAAAACCTCTCCCCTGGAGCCCATCAAGCCAGATATGTGAAGTAGGCGAGGGCCATTTGCTGGCCACTTCTAGGCGATGGTGCATTTCTTCATTCCTCACAAAGGGTGACACCTTCCCAGCATGCACCCAGGGGGCAGGGCCGACGCGGCAGGGGCTGGTTCCTCGCTGTTTCCAGACGGCCTTGTGGAGCTAAGACTGAATGCGTTTCAGCATAGATGGCCACCACAAAATTGTACATTGGCTCCTGGCTGGCCTGGGCCAGGGCCAAGGCAGCGGGGGCCGTTCCCTCACTGTTTCCAGGATGGCTTCGCGGGCCACATGAAACCACTTCGTGGGTCGCATCCGGCCCCTGGGCCTTGTGTTTGACATGTATGTGCTAGATGATTTAAAATCCATTAAAATTCTCTATAATTTTCTGCTTTCAGCCTGAAATGAAGCAATTCAAGTTAAATTATATTACTCACTATAGCTGATGCTTCTCCAGCCAGAGATAGACAACCAGCAACTTTCAGCTTAGTACTGTATTCAAAATATCTCTGTAAGCAAGTAATCCACATCCAAATATCTTATCATCCAAGAAGGAAGGAAGGAAGGAAGGAAGGAAGGAAGGAAGGAAGGAAGGAAGGAAGGAAGGAAGGAAGGAAGGAAGGAAAGTAGTTCTGGGTCAGCCAACTGCAAATATTTGCCCTTGCCAAGTTATACCCAAAGAAATGTAGATTCCAAAAGAGAAGAAAAAAAAATCTTACTCATACTAACATTGTCTTCCAGGGGATATTTATTTTATCTTTCCCGTATTTTCTGTGGCATGCATTAAGTCTAAGACATGGGGAGGAATCATCTACATTGTAGCCAACTGCCTGTTATATGTTGCTTTTTTAATATTCTCGTTTTTCTCACTTCTCGTGGAAGGTATGGGATGAGAGGCTAGCCAGATCTGCAGAAGCATGGGCAAAACGGTGCCTATGGGAACATGGACCTCCACAATTGATGACATTGATTGGGCAAAACCTTGCCATACACTCTGGCAGGTAAGGTGTGCCTTTCAGCAGTGCTTGGATGTTTTGTGATGTATAGGTCAAGGGTCCCCAACCTCTGGACTGCAGCCTCTGTGCCAGTGGGCCGTAGAAATGGTTGTCGGTGCGTGCATGTGTGCAGGCGCGCACTCCCCCCCCACTCACACTAGCACCCGCGGCCCCATTTGTGCATGCGTGTGGGCACGAATGGGGCTGGTAGCATTGGGTGGGTGTGCACAGCACATTTGTGCATTTGCAAATGGGCTAGTAGCATTGGATGGTTTGCATGGCCCGTTTACGCATGTGTAAACGGGGCCGCTAGCACTGGGCATGTGCCCATTCGCACATGCGTGAATGGGGCCACTAGCACCAGGTGGGTGTGCGTGGCCCATTCGCGCATGCGCGAATGGGCTGCTAGTGCTATGCTGGTGTGCCTGGCGCCGTTTGCATGCACACTTGCACACACACCAATTTGCAAGCTGCTCACCTTCCTTCTGGGCCGTGAGCCCGGAAAGGTTGGAGACCTCTAGTATAGGTGATGTGGCTGCACAGAGCCCATAGTTCAGTCTTTAAGACTTTTTAGTGGTAAGCATGGCTACAGTATTCACACTGTGTGAATACTTCCAGCTGTTCCTTTTCCTTTCTATAGTCTCATAATCAGCAGTTTGTGAATTCTTCAATGTTTATGTTAAGCAAAGGACTTTTTTAATTTGCCCCATTATTTTTTTTTCTTTTGTCATAAGATAGTATAGGTGGCATATTGCCTTTCCTAATTTTTTGGAGGAGTAAGGGTGGGAGAGGGAGAGATATTTATTTTTAAAAAAGGAAAACTTACAAATAAAACAAGAAATTGTAAATTATAAACACCCACAACACTGTAGAAGTGAATCTTAATAATAAACCCATTCTCTGTTTTAAATACTTTCTATAAATTCTTTAATTTCTGCTTTGTATTTCTGTTCTGTCAATTTCTTTTCTTTTTCTTCATCATTTCTCCTTGTCTGTTCCTGGCTGGATTTCTGGACTCTTCTTGTCTTATTCCAAATCTTTGTTCCAGCTGAGAGAAACTGTTTGAAGACTCATGTCATTCTGAGAGAAAGATTTAAACTCCTGTCTTCCCACTTTTCTTAGTTGCAGCCTCTTTTCCTATTGCCTCTTTTCATCTATCCTTTCATCTGCCTCTTTCACTCCTGGGCTTTGTTTATTCAGCCTCTTCTTTGAAAGGCCTCTGGCTGCAGGGCTGCCCAGAAGCTATTTTGTCTGCCCCCCCCCCACTGGCAAGTCCTGTCCAACATTGCTGTTTGATTGGCAGCTGAGTTATCCTGACAATGGGGATGGACAAAGGAGGGAGGCTGAGAAAGGTACCCAGAGGTTTTTAATCCTTCCATCTATCAGTTTGTTTGTCTAGTTGTGTTGGGATTGCAGCTATTAGTAGTGGCTTCTAGAGATACCCATATTTGATCTCTTGAGGGAGAAAAGATGTAGATGTGGCACCATATGCTTTCAGAAAGAGGTGGGAAGATTTGGGGAACTGCCATTTTCCCTTGTCAAATGATTTGGATATTAAATTCCTTTGCTTCTCTTATGAAAAGAAATATATACTTCATATACTATGTATGGTCCTCTGTAGGTACTTTTCAGTGATGGACCTAGTAAAATCTTGGTATTATGAGAAGCAACACTACATATTTCCTTATCCCCATGAATGCAAGCCTAGATGTCCTTCCAAATGTAATGGTTCTGTTTGCAGTCACTATACTCAGGTAAATATTTATTTTCTGTCTACAGTCATTATAGCTAGGTAAATATTTATTTATTTTTCTTATGTTTAAATTGTCTATGTCATTTTTCAAAACCAAGTTTTCCAAGAGATTTAACATATTGACATCAGACTGAAATCACAACTGACCATTAACTAGACATTACAGAACAATATTGTCTCTGAGGAGTAAAAAACAAACAAACATTTAGATCAGTTTATACAGATCCCTTCATTCATCTTATATGTGTGTGCATATACAGTATTAACACTTGTAACCATAAAAGCAAAGTTGAATGGATGGAGGATTTTCTAATATTAAGAAAAATCCATGTGGTTCAGATTGACCAAAAGCTTTTGGGTATTCCACATTACAGAATATAGTTTGTAATCTCAATAAACTATTCTCACACAGATTTTATTTCCAAAGATGGATTGACCATCCATTTCTTCTTCCATTGATTCATTGATTCACAAGTTGCTCTCTTTTTTACATAAATGAAGCAGATCCATGGATGCAATATTTTTCCAGTTTTTTTTCTTTTTGAAATGTTTTTTTTCCTGTTGAAATGATTTAGTCTCAAAGTGTTCTCTTTATCCATTAAAGAGATCACAAAAATCTGGAACATAGGACATACATTTTAATCATATGATTATATACCTTCACCTTTGAGAGAAAAATGTTTGAACAACAGGTTGACATCAAAGGGGATGGATAATTATCACAGTCCAGCCAGAAAGAATTATCCAGATGTTTATAAATACAAGTTCAGACATTTCTGTTTACATCTACACTGAAATAGTCATTTAGTCAACCTTAAGAAAAAATGGATGCCATTTTGGATGGATGGATCTTTATCCAGGACCCTTAATCAGCTGTGTATGATGGTCTATCCATAACCAAAATTATATTTAGGGCATTATCACTATTCATTTTATGCTCCTGTTCAAGAACATGGTCAATTTGATGAACTTATTCCACAGATGATTCATTTCTTCTTATGTCTGGTAGCACAGATTATTCAATCAATCATCTGGCAATCCTGTTTTTACTCTTTCCATTTCTAGACATGATTTTTCTTTCTGTGTGAACACCTGAGACTGCCTCTATTTAAACCTTCCCCCCACTCCTATGTACTTACAAGATGAGAAAAGCAAAGTGCCTAAAACCCACAGAATGGCCTGAAATCATGCATACAAGCTTCCACCTAGGAATATCTGTGATTCTGAGATAACTTTCACAATATTAAGTGTCTTCAGACTCAAGCTACTTTGTTGTCCAAAGTGGATCAGCAAATAGTTCCCCTCCATCTTAAAGCAGAAGTAAAATACCCCAACATTAATTAATGTTATGGACCTCCTTTTTCATGATTGTTGGGGTCCATGCAGGAAAAGCTTTTATTGTGTAATCTCCCCATATTATTTGTGGAATTTTATGCAACAGACATTTCATTTTCCACTTGTAGTTTTCTACGACGGCTTTCCACTTTTCTTTGGTAAACAATGGTAATTGAAATTTTCATCCATTGCTTTCAGTTTTTCTTACAAAAAAGAAAAAAGAATGTCACTTGCTTGATAGCACATGGTGATCCTTCACTGGTAATATTCATAAAATTTCCTCCCTCTCCTCAGCAATCATTCCTTCCTAATGGCTAAGGTTGCCCTCCGGAGCCCAATTTTGTATTCTTTTTCCCCCTGAATTGAATTGTTTAAAAATGGATAAGGCTAAAATTGGTAGTCTATTATGTCCATTCACATAAGGTAAAGTGCAGAATAAAATTCTTCAAGATACAGACAGACATTTTATTCACCAACATGTGAGGATCAAGCTGTTAATGATGCAGGAACAGTGGCAATTAAAATTGTTGGCAGTCTTGGAGTAGTATACTATTTCCTGTCTGGAGAATCACAGTTCATACAGATTTAAATGAAAGTTTTGTCAACTGTCTTGCAATGTTTACCTCCAATGTTTGCTGGAAAAAGTTGTCAGTCTCTACTATATTCTGATGCTAAAGTCCTACGGAGATAAAATTCCATCCGGGGTCAGGAATCTATTTATTACTATCCCCCCCTTCACTCCTGCTCCTCCATCTTTTTATTGGGCCACAGTATTGGCTTTTTGTAGTATTTTATTTATATCCTGTAGCTCTGTACCATCTTTATGTTTATGATTGCAGGCTGCCTAGAGTTATTCTGATGTAAGGTGAGCAGCCAATAAACTTTAAAACAAATAAGGTACATTTGACTCATATATGTTTTGAACAGTTCCTTTCTTCCTGTCTCTGCGTGTCCAAGAATAGAATGGTGTGTTGAAATGCTGCTAAATATCCACCAGATGGTAATCTCACATTTCCATAATTTTAAGCATGGGAAGCAAGCATACTTCCTTCCCTTCTCCCCATTATCAGTGCTTTCTTTACTGAAACTTTTATTAGATCCATCAGAGTTTGGTTAAAAAGATCAGTCTTCACCAGTCTTTTCTTACTCCCATCATCAACTGTCAACATGGCCATTGGTTCTAAATTTTGGAAGTTGCTGTGCAACATATCTGGAGAACATCCATTAAGGGAAGGCTGACCTAGACAATAACCTTTAGTGGATACCATAAAAGGAACATAGGAAAAGTCCAGCTGGGATAGATCAAAGTTCTGTAATGTAGAATCTGTAAAGTCCTATTTTCTAGGCCCTGAGCAGGTAACCAAATGCTTCTTGAAATGCACTAAGGGACCATGGATATATAGGAAATACTATATATCAGTTATCACTAAATAGCAATTTCCTTACTGCTTCCCCATCCCAAAGTAACTGTTGGATATTAATAGTACCATCCAGAGAATGTAAAAATTCCATTTAGGGCTAATAACCATTGTTGAATAAACTTTTCACATTATGTAAAAGACAAGCATCCCAGAATTTTCGGTGAATTCAAAAGTATGTGTCTTCTGTTTTTAGATCTACCTCTCTTACAAAAGTTTGCTGATGTCTTCCTAACAGATGGTGTGGGCTTCCAGCAACAGAATTGGCTGTGCTGTCCACACTTGTACCAACATAAATGTGTGGGGCAATATATGGCGGCAAGCAGTCTACTTAGTGTGCAATTATGCCATCAAGTAAGTAACCTATTCGAGTGTCATACGAATATGTTGGATGGTGACCTTCCATAATTATGGGGAATTACAGGTATTGTTTTCAACAATTCAGTTTTAAGTTGAGAAAAGCTAACTTTAAAAAAGACTCATTCTTGACAGAGAGCAAGACTAGGATTAGCATAAGGATTAATATTAGGCTATAGGGGAGAGAAGAATGTGGAACACAGAATATCATGGAACTATTCTTGATGAGTTCCATAGTGCTTCCCCTCAAGATATCCTTGAGGGAAAAAATGGTAAGGGAAAGGGCATAAACAGAAAGACTAGAACACATATGCAGATTTCTCTGGATCTGGATCTCTGTGTAAAATGTGAGTGTATGGGGGAAGAAACCAATTGGCAATGAATTATTTAGGATTGAAAATGTCCAGAGGGAAAAGGGTAAAGCTCTTGTTCATCCTTGTAATATCATATACTTTCAAATATCCTTCGTATTTAAAGATAGAGTTTGTGGGAATTCTTATAATTTAAGGAGCAATCCATATACTGTAATTTCTTCATCAGACTATGGCCTCTCAATACTGTTTACAAAACTCTGGACATTACTGTACTACAGAAAATAAACTCAGCAAATAATACTCAAAGTAGCCCATAATTTGTCTATTGTTTCTGGCTCATTGCATCTCTGATTGATGTACTAGTCTGGATCTGCCGCTGTTAATCTTGCCTGAATGTCAGTGATGTTTGCCATGTTGGCCCTGAGTAAGATTATTCAGGCCCTTTTCCCACTTGTATCCGGTCTCTCTTGCAACCTAAGCCAAAATGACCATGAAAGTCCCAGGAGGATGCCAGGATTAATGACTGGAAGGGAAGAAGCATGGTCATTGCAGGCTAAAGTGACCCATCAGAGCTGGGCATATCCCAACCACTGGTCATACTGTATTGGCAATTGCATCATTGGTGAGGCATGCCAGACTGCATCCATGGCAAAAATGATGTTGAGAGAAAAGGAAAACAATTAAAACTGGAACACTTCAGGATGACTTAAACTGCCTGAACTATGTGACAAGAATGAGACAAAGGCAATATGAGGGCATGGCAGAATATACCATATGCTGCAGTGAGGGGGAAGTTAAAATATTCCTACTACAAGAGTGGGGAAAGGTATTCAGTTATTCCTAATGCAGAGAGACAGCAGCATCTTTAATCCTTCTTGTTTGCTTCTTGCTTGAGTTGCTACTGTGCCAGTCTATATCAATGGTGATCAGTTGATCCTGTTCAACAATGAAGTCTAGGTATCATGGAGAAGAGTTTCTCTCATAATAAATAATTCCCATACAAATGGCAGGGGATTAAATAAATTTTCCTTCCTTCCTTCCTTCCTTCCTTCCTTCCTTCCTTCCTTCCCTCCCTCCCTCCTTCCTTCCTTCCATTTCTCTATTTCTATCTATATCACCCATCTTACCTAGGTCATTCTGAATAATGTACTAGTTTGTAAGGGTCTCCTAAGAGTTTGGTGTTGTGGTTAAGGCACCAGGCTAGAAAACAGGAGACCAAGTTCTAGTCTTACCTTAGGCATGAAGCCAACTAGGTGACCTTGAGCCAGTTGTGCTCTCTTAGTCCTGTGAAGAAAGCAATGGCAAACTGCTGTCTTCTTGCCAAGAAAACTGTAGGACAGTGTTGAGCATCAGCGTTTAGTGACTGTGGTCTAGACAACAGTTTTCCTGACATTTTCCAGCAACTATATCTTGCATCTTCGGAGGCAATGTGATCTATTTGCTCTCAAAATGCCAGCCATGGTTTCCAATGAAATGTCAGGAAATTTGTTGTCTAGACCATGATCACTAAACCCTGGAGCTCAACAGTGCCCAACAGATAACAGCCTGAAAGCCTACACCAGTATAAAACTTCAGGGACTTGTCCAGACAGTTGCTAGGAATCAGCACTGACGTGAAGGCAAAAAAAAGGGGAAAAAAAGAGGATAATAATATGCATCAGTGTAGTATCCAGGACGAGAGTATTGCTCATGCACTTTGCTTTTCTTTGTTTACAGGGGCAATTGGATAGGAGAAGCACCTTACAAAATGGGAAAACCTTGTTCAGCCTGCCCACCTAGTTATGGAGGCACCTGCAGCAACAACATGTGTTATTTGGGATTTAAATCCAACAGAATTGGTTGGTTCTGAACATAGCATGTGTACTTTGAGATCCCCACTATGTTGAAATTATGGAAGGAACACTCACTGATGGAGATGATAGAAGATTGGGCCAAGTGTAAAACAGCTGTCTAATTTTTACTTATAAATACTTTACTTATAAATATGTCTTCATTTGTATAAATTCTAAATTTCTTTCTCTAGCCATCCACCCTTCCCTCATCTTCTAAACCATAATACAGCTCCAAATATATTTTGACATTCATAGACATGCTCAAGAGCCAGCATTTCTCATAATGTTAAGTAGGGGATAAATTCTTAGATCTTGTTTATTCTGCATTCTTAATCTCATTTCTTTATTTGTTGTAGGATTATGCCATTGTAAGTAACAGAGGGAAGACAGTTTGACAGGCATCAAGTAGCATTTAAACTAACAAGTAAGTGTATCTCTAGGCATTCCCTGGAGGCATTTAAAGAATCAACAGGAAAAGTATTTCTGATTTACAACTGAGACCAGGGTAGTGCATATGCTGTTGGACTGAGGAGATAAAGGTTGAAGTCCACACTCAACCATGGAACACATTATTTTTCATTGTAACCTTTCTTACAGGGATATTCCTGTTATGGTAAAATGAGTGGAGCTCTCCTTATCACTTTGAGCTCCCAGAGAAATGGTGTGATATAAAGGTAACAATAAATAACGCCACATTTTAGCCAGTAAATATAATATTGATGCAAGGTTTGAATATTTTTAAAGTTAATTTAATCACCTACTACTTCTTCCCTATCAAGGTATTTTTGCTTTTGTCTGAATCATGCAGTCAAGTTATAACATTTGATTAACTTTCACTCTTATTATAGTCCTTGTTTCTTCTGCTTTTAACTAACAATTGAATACACTAATTATTTTTATTCCTCCATTACTCACAATTATTCTAATTAGTTTGATTTTTTAATTTTTAAAAGAAAATATATTTCAATTGCCATTTTGTTCTCGTGCAATAATGTTTCACTTAGATCTGACGACAAAAATCCACCTTTGATTTGTACATAGCAAATGTTCATGTGTTTTGCCAAAATGTGTCTCCTAGATTAAGTAAGAATATCATCCTGATTATTTTATATATATGCTGGACATATATAAAGGACATAGTTCTCAGTAAAATCATTAACCTTTTGGGTGGGTTGTTTAATGGATTGCATTAAAACAGTGCATTCACCATTCATTGTGTTTGTCTCATTCATATAACATTTATTTTATCTGATTTGATTAAGCACTAGACAATTTGTGCACCCATAAGTTATCATTTCAGAAATATCTCCTTACCTAAACAGAGAAACAGAATGACCAAGGGTGGGCAAAAAAGCATGAGAACAGGAGCAATTTTCAACTTCCTACCAGCTTCCCATTGAGTTTCCTTTTGGGGATCTGGCAGGGAGCACCAGAAACTTTTCCTTCCTTCCTTCCTTCCTTCCTTCCTTCCTTCCTTCCTTCCTTCCTTCCTTCCTTCCTTCCTTCCTTCCTTCCTTCCTTCCTTCCTTCCTTCCAGAAAACATTGATATATGCAAAGGCTCTCAACAATAAAGATTTATTTCTGAAGAACCTTGACAAATTAGTGAATCAGAGAAATGCTTGGAGTTCATTAAGGCATTAATGAACATTAAGCCTACTTCTTGATAAGATAGAACAATGTGGGATAGAGAGTACCACTACTAGAAGGATTCACAGTCAGCTGACCAACCACACTCAGCATGTACTCCTCAATGGAACTATATTTACATGGAGGGAAACATGCAGTGGGGCACCTCAAGGTTCTGTCTTGGGCCCAGTGCTCTTCAACGTCTTCATAAATGATCTAGATGAGGAGATAGAAGAAGAACTGATCAAACTAGGGGAAATTTCTAACATTTTGGAAGATAGATTCAAGATTTAGAAGGATCTTCACAGACAGAACATTGGGTCCTATCTAACAAGTTGCAATTCAGTGGTGAAAAAAATAAGGTCCTGTATTTAGGCAGTTAACAACAGTCTTGTTTAGCAACATAAATTTTGGACTTAGTTGTGATCATAAGTCGAGGACTACCTGTATACATGCATTCAGCAGAAGTTCCACCATCCCATCAAAGAAAAAAAAAATCCAACATGGACCTGCTAACATCAAAACTAATGCAGGCAGGGCAGTTCTGCCTGCAGCTGCTTTGACTGTTAAAAATAATTTCTGGGTTTTATGTGATTTTGTTTCCATTTTTTTTCAGTATTTTAAGTTTAAATTGATTATGTTGGTCTTATATGCCTGTGAGTGGATGGGTGTGCATGTGTGTGCATGCATTATGTGTGTGATATGCAAATACACTGGCAGCATGGTTGAAATGCCACACATTCATTTTAGAAAAACTCATTGAAAATGGGCCAGAGCAACTAATACAAAGGTAGCACCAGCATCAGCATCATGCGTAAGCACAATCAGACAACATACACACCCTGATTTATTTACATACTACACAGAGCCTGGCACTAGCTCATTCACCACTGTCTGTTCTTTACCTATAAACAAACGCAGGTCTGGCCACAGAAACGGGCTGCTTATCCCCAGCGACAGCATGGGGATCTATCTGCATTTGTCTGCACACATAGCCATTGTTCTTCATGTTTGTTTGGTGAGGGCAATAAAATGTCCCATGTCTCAGCAGCTGTAAAACTGACCTAATTCACACCTCCCCATGGGAGTTCCTTCAGCTTCTCTGTTCTGGACTGCTTCTCTGTGCCTCTTTGTCAGGGAGAATCCAGACGACAGCATTTTTTCTTCGTAGGGGATCACCCTGGGCCTGAACCAGGTGTCAGTGGAAATCCCAAAATTGTGCTAGAAAGTCATGTTTGAGTTTCAAGCTTGGGAGCAGTCACTATAGCTACCGTGGCAGACGGCACCTTGCAAGTTGGTTTCCATACTAGCTTGGTTACTATTTAACATCTCCACCCACATTAGGCCTGATTAAGCGAATCAATAAGATAACAGGCGAGGCAGGTTTCCTCACCCTTCCTCCCTCCCTCCCTCGCCCAGCTTCTTTTCTTGTTATTTTACACTTTCCCATTTTCTTCAGAATTATACTGATGAGAAATGGTCAATGTAAGCACACAGCTAAGTGCTAAGATGGAGGCCCCTCCGTATGGTGAGTACACAGGCTCCTGTCTGCCTATCTTTTCTTGTTTTTGAAGAGAGACGCTCAGAGGTTGAGCAAAGCTGTGTACACTCAGAGCCGACAAATCCTGCTGTTTGTTGTTGATCTATGGAGACCTTATATGTTAGGCCAACACGCATTTCCTGGCTGTCCATGGTCTCGGATTCCCTGTGGTTGGCTTCCTCTTAGTCTGTTGGAGAAGCAGCACTGCTGCCCTTGACTTGAAAAAGGAACAAGCATTCCTTAATCTGAGTCTATTTTGTTTTCGAAGTGAGAATGAATTTGCCAAAAAAAGTAGTTTAATCTAAAACCAACAGGAAAAGAGGTTAGGAACTAAAGCTCAGCTAACCTTAGATCTGAGACCGGAACAAAAGCAGGCTTTTCAAATGCATATTGAAATTTGTACCTTGCTCTTGTGTGTGTGTCTGTGTGTAAGAGAAAGAGAGACCATGTCAAACCTCTCACAAAACTTTGCAAATGAATGTAGATTTTTCTCAATGAGACTGATTTCTGAATTGATATATATGGAAGGACTGCACTGTGCTGTTCAAATGGCATAAAATCACACTTATATTTCTAGTTATGATTTCTGAGATGGGCTGAATGGTTAACCTCATATTTATACGCATAATGTATTTGTTGTCAGTAAAGATGATCATTAATGACTTTTCTGTCTGAGCTATGTACCTATGCACCATGTACCCATGCACCAGTCCTGTTTTGCTCATGGATTTCTTGTGAATTAAACATGCACAGAAAAGATTCTCCCAATACATATTGTGTTGCCCATTGTCCTTTGTTTACAACAGTGGCAAGTTATAAGCACCTCTTTAATCAACAAAATTAAACCCACCCACTCCCAAAGTTACAACCTACTGGAATAAGGATTTTTGTTATGTTATTCATAATACTTGCATATTGTATATTTTATATTAATAAATTATGATTTATTGAATAAATCGCAGCGGCTGGATATAGGCAACCAATCACTACAAATCACAACTTGCTAAACTTGAATTAAACAAATAATATTATGCTTTGCTTGTTGCATGAACCTATATTATGTTGGTGACGAGAAAATAAATGTTTGGAATTGAATCTCAGAAGCTAGTGAGATTTCTGCTAGACACTAAGACTTGATCTGGTTCACAGATAGTGGTAATCTAGATTTTTGTAATCCTACATAGTACATAACAATTTATATTTATGTAAAGCATTGTATTCTAGTCATCCCCAAGCACACCCCATAAGATGGTCTAGATTTACCATGCTGTATGAACCCAGCCATAATGTATACCTTGGCTATTCTTTTGACTCTAATTAGTTAATTAAACCATAATTAACCAATGGCTTAATGCAGTATGTTAACTCCACCTAACTATAAGCCTAGTAGACTGATCTCAAAGCTTCAAGGGCTGCAACCTAGATTTGTGTGAGCATCTAGTCATCTGACATAAAGGCTCACCCTTCTTCAGAGCAATATAGCTCAGGTAGGAGGTCTTGTGACTCCACAAGATTGTAAACTTTTAACATTGCTATGTGATTTTTAACTATATTTATAAGCATTAACTATATTATATATATTATATGTGGCCTAAGACAATTCCTTTTCACTCAATGAAATTCAGGCAAGCCAAAAGGTTGGACACCCATGATGTACCATTTTATGTATATAGCTAGTACTATATACCAAATTAAACGTTGAAAAGCAGGCAGTATGTTGCCAAAACACGAGGCACCTGGAGTATCAAAATAAATAAAAAAATCCAGTTCAATGAGCCCGGTGGTCTTAGAAAAGGTGCAGATGAGAGAGAGAATCCCTTGGAAACGCAGTGCTTAAAGTGAAAGGTAGC